CCCCACACCCCCACACCCCCTGAGTATTCCAACATCCCATCTTATCAAACAACATTCCGTTATCCAATTTCTTATGAAAACTGCCAAATACCTGTATAATCTGACATCACTACATAACAAACGGAAATGTGGGAAATCACTGGATTGTGGAAACCACATATTAATACAATTTAGTGAATGAATTTGTGAGAAAATTACTACAGGTCAGTGATTTTGTTGGGTACCATTTCTATGTTAGGTGGGCATACATGGTATGCTTATTGCCCATTGATATTTCTGATGATTGCTATCTAAATGAAGTTCATTACTACAACTCAAACACATTTTTCTGTTGTTACCTTTATACAAAGAGGACAGGTGCGACTGTCATTTTCCTTCTGTCCCCACTGGTGTTGGCCGTGGACATGGCCACACGAGAGGTACACGTACGGCTGTTTGTCTGACAGCTCCAGTGTACCTTTACTGGGCAACACTAGGGTCATCAGGCCCACTGGACACTGAGGACGACCAGCATTTATTTCCTCAACCAGGGTTTGAAATTCATGTTCACTCTGTAAAAGAAGAAAAACACATCTTGACTCAAACTCCTGTTCACTTTGAAACAAGATATATGAAGCTGTTTTTCAACTTATGCTCACCTTGTAAAAGAAGGAAAAATAAACTGAAACACACTGATGTTTATTATGCAAATAAAGCTCATGTACACTTTCTAAGTCTGTAAAAAGATACATGTAGGTACTAAAACTCAAGTTAAAATTTTAAAGGAAAAAGCGTTTCAAAATTGTATTTATTCTGTAAAGTCAGATCACTGTTCTCCGATTTATTCTGAAAGGGGAGAAAACTGGACACTGATTCAAAAGTCATGTTAACTATGAAAAGGAAGAAAACTGCTACAATTCAAAAGCATGCCACCTGGGTACTCTGTAAAGGGAAGAAACATTAATTTTTAATGTTTCTTGCTTCTACATTCAGAAAGCAGCATGTCAAGTTTTCCGAAATACCTGAGAGTCTCGGAGGCGGAAACTTATGATTCCCAATTTACTTTTGAAAACTTCTCAATATTAAACTTGAATAAACAATTCTTTTTAAAGACAAAATCTGCTGCAACAGACATGTTAAGGTGAAGAAGATTTTCTTACTTCTACTTCAAAAACCTGCAAAAACACCCAGCTATACAATATAGGGTAAAAAAGAACATAATTAAACAGGAAAATATCTTTCCCAAGACCTGTGGCGGGACTCTACCTTCAACTCTACATCTATATGACGAGATATTCAAACAGCTTATGGATTACTTTGTTCTCATTAAAGCTCTAATGTCATACCGGAGAGGTGATGAGGCCAAGAGCTGATCTCCATAGTAACGTAGCACCACAAAGATCTATCACAGTTCCATCATGGAGAATATTGTCCTCATCCAGGATCTGAAATAGTAGCCAAAGACATAGGTTAAAATCACTTTCACAGCATGAGTTCTGATTACATACAGTAACTAGTGTATCCTGAAAGTAACAGTGTCTGGTCAAACTATTTGATTCCAATGAATAAAGCTAGCATTGAGTACAACAATTTAGACTGTGTTGGACGGCTTTCAGAATAAAGTTGGTGAAATTCAGTTTAGCACTTCGAAAGAAGAACCTATTGAAAGAAATAGTTGACAGCCAAATGATGGATGCCAGCAATAGTAGAGCTAACCTTTGTTCTTTGTTTTATTTATTTATATATTTTTTTCAAGAAGGAATTTTGCAATAACCCTCGACAAGTATGTTTGTGATGCTTTCCTCAGTCGATGGTATGTAACTGACCTGGTTACTTTTGAGGGGTGCCGACCTGGACTCTCTCAGAGGATATATAGCACCACCCACCGACACCTCCCGCCATACTCCTGGTTTGCCTGTGGGGTTGAAGCCACCCTGGGGTTGCATAATGAACACACCATTGGTCGTAAGTCCATCAATTTCCTCCCCCGAATACCACTTCACTGCCTTCTCCTTCAAACAAAAGGAAAATATGGCTCTTAAAACAAATATTCTTACAAATGATCAACATCATAAAATCTATGTAAATGTTCAATGGAGATATTTGCTTTCCATGCAATAAATAGTGGGGTTTGATGCTCAGTATTCACAAGAAAGACACCTCAGTAAAAATTGAAACGAGAGCAGTAAATAACACACCAGGAAGTGTCCTGAACGAGTGAACAAGCTATTCATTATATTGATGATTTCTATGTCATGTCCAATGAACTATTTATCAATACAATTACTTGATTATATGAAGAACGCTTCATTTTGTCAATATATCAGTGTAAAAAGAAATAAGACACATTATGTCCACAAACCCAGATTTTGTCAAAATCAGTGTGATCGTTTTCAATAAATCTACATCAATGTTTCAGGCAGGATTCACAGCACCTCTGTTGCTGTCAATTGTCACGGGTAATAAGTGAAACCACTGCTAACAGACGTACAGAATTAAAATAATACCAGAAAAGCAAATGTCCTCTAAACAGTGCACTTAAAAAAATATTATCCTGCTCTTTAGATGAATGACCCGAAACCTGATGACACAGAAAACACCACCACATACTAATATCATTCAATCTTTATCCTCCTGATGTAATGGCCTCAACACTTCACACAGACTTGACTGACTTCAGGCAAATTTCAAGTACATCATTATCATATAAGTATAGGTACACACGACTTTATGATCAGGCAGATGTACTAACCCCCAGAAAAATGTTTCTCCCCGAGTCAAAGCCAGCTGCAAATATTCTGGCTGTATAGGGTGGATCTCTCTCCAACAGTATTCTGCAGGCAAATCGGGATATGGTACTCTGTGTGATGCTATCATTGGCTGTCCGCTGATTTCCTGGAATCGTGTCCATCACAACATAGTCTATAGGTACCTCTGAAGAACGGCCAATCTAGGAACGAGAGCAACACGTTTTCAATCTCATTCTTTAGTAAACAAAACAAATATAACCATTTTGGGCATGTTATCTTGTACATTTCTGAAGTAAATAACTGCTTCAAGAATATTGCCACATTGTGATGTTTAATAATCATGTTTACAGTTTGCATGTACTTGATCATTGCTTTTCCAATATTAACTATTAGCAGTCCAATGTCTAGCAGTGAAGTTACTATTACCTGATACATGTCTGTGTTGGGGTCCTGTTTGTATTCTACAATGACAGCCTGGTTACGAGACAGAGTATAGGACACAGAATGCTGGTGGGTGTCCTGGACGGCCTGTACACATAAAGTCAACACATTG